GAAGCATTTTTAAGACATGCCGAAACCATCGCGACTGTGACTTCTCAAACTTAAGAAGCTGCGGCTGTATACCAAGGTTCTTTCGAATATCATATCTCTGGACTATGCCGACATGCGTGAACCCAGCGTTCTGTCTGTAAAAGCTCATCTCAGCCGCTTGCATCGGGGAATCAAAGTTCTTCATTCAAGGCCCATTCATAACTCTAGGTGTGAATCGAGATGAAAATTAATTTTGACACACACAGCTTAATCATCAGACTCAACTGTGCCTTACTCACAAGGTTTGGGCTAATTCACACGGAACGTCGCTGGCTATTCTAATTCACCGGTTTATCCCTTCCTTCCATTTTCCTTCACCGATAAACACCACCCAAGGTACGCGAATGTTTCCACTTCTTTTACTGCTTCTCCATTTATCGGCAAAGCGCTTCAAGCAGGAGAAGGAGTAAGGCTAGGCTTTTTATTTTAGACACGTCCATCCGTAGGCAGGTCAAGTCATACTCGGCTGCGAACTTTTTCAGCAAGCGCTGGAGATCTGTTTCTGAAGATGCTACAAAATGTGCGAACTTCTTTTCTTCACATCTCTTACGCTGATATACCTTTCACCCTGGCTTCGCCTGACTATCCTATACATGGACAACACAAACAGAAAGAAGAGCAGAATGCAGCCTTGGGGAGTCCAGTTACAGCACTGAAAGGCCCCACGTTAGTATCACTTACTCTGTTACAGCAGGTGCGATTAACACATAGTGAATGACAGGCACGCAGCGACTGGTCATCGATCTAATTTATTTACAGGCACGCCTACAGCTACTGAAAGGGACTTGGTCATGCGATTTCTTCAGATCTCAAAGCACTAATAAATTGGACGAGCGAACAAAATTTCGGGAGGCTGCTGTGGCGAGAAAATTAGGTCAAAGGTGGTTCAACGTGAGCGACAGCTGCACTGCTCTTCTTCAATCTTGGAGTCATTGATTCCGCGCGACACGTCCTTTCCAAAACATTTGCATGGAGTCTTTCAGATATGACGAGTGATGTATTGCCTCGATTTTCTGGAGCGCTCTTCTTCTGATCCCTTCTGGGACCAGGATATTACCACCCAAATTCTTCTATTCACCGATATCCTCCCTGTAATCACCGTAGTTCGACATGCATGCTCTAACCACAAGGTGCACTGTTTAATTAAAACAGTTTTGCTGAATTTATTTGGGGTTAATTAGTTTCTAAAAGTTCTTCCTGCGCATGATATCTTTTTCCTTGGAATGATGGCGTTCAAAACCAATCCTTCATGTTTCTAAGACTGCCTTTGTTTCTATTTCGCAGGTGGCGGATGGTTTGCTACAACGCTTTATTTATCATCTGAAAATTCGAATCTAGTGCAGAAATATAGTAAACTGATTGAAAGGGCTAAGGTACCCTACTGGATGCTCTAGCTTCTGGTGCCTTGTTAACTTTTTCCACACTTTTTATGAGAAGCAGATATCTCCTACCATAAAAATCGGGCTGTGCAATCACTTCTGTCAGTTCCTAAGGTGAACGTTTGAAAATGCTTCTATGAAATCGTTGTTCCTCGAAATTTGTACTCCCTTCAACCACTAGTGAGGTCATGTCCAAACGGTCACAGAAGACCTCCTCTGTCTGTTTGAAGTGCGCCTTAATGACCGGTTAGATTGGTATAATCATGTATCAAATACTTCCGAATCACTGAATAAAAGGTACGAACGACGTCTTTCTGTACCAAACGGCAACGACAGATGGAAGCTCCAAAGTGGCTTTGAAGGTGCTTTTGGCGCTATTGTTGCGCCAACGGTAACCAACACAGCAGCACTGTTCATCGAGATGTTTGCTGCCCGAGTCTTCGCCACTCTGAAACGCTGTCTTCTATATTCCTCTAGGTCTGTTAATCTTCCGTACATGTGTGTTGTTCAGATTGTGACCTCCATGGTCCGTACCGCCGCAGTTCGTTGAGAAAATTCTGGACTACCCTTAATGTTATCTGCAGCGTTCTCTAGCCAGCGACCAGTCAGTAACGTAGGCGAGTCGTCAGACTCTGATTAGCATCTACGTACGGACAGAGACCTTCAAGCGATCACTGGCGTCTTATTTGATCTAAATGCTGAAAGATTACTACCTACGTGAATACGAAGAGGAAATTCGCACCAAATTCAATTTGAATTGGCCCTTTGTTGCGTCTAAATTTTCTACTTCATTGAGAACCGATGTTTATGTTTTTTTGCTTTGCAGTATGCATGGCATCGAACCGTTGAACGACAGATATACGTTGTCCACGATAGCGGTAGCCTCGACTTAACTTTTTTGTACTAGGAATTCGATCAGGGTTACGGAAGAGAAATGAGCAAATACTGGCCGTTAAGATTTCACTATTAATAGTATATATAACGGCAGAAACTGGCGACAACATATCTTATTTTGCTGTTCAACCACGTAATTCATCTCCTTCAACTATGCTCAAAGCGGACTGGTCGTCTGAAACCTTTCTGTTTTCAGTTTAAATTTTCAAGGTCTTATCCATAGTGACACTTAGCAGTTACATCGACGGCAGCATTTTCATACGTCTACTGCAGCGGAAGCCAGTTTTATTGGTTACAGCGCTACGATAATCGCATACGATGTTTTCCGTCGGAAGAATCAGCTTGGGTAGTTGACGACGGCTGTTACAGTACAGTTAGATGTATTTATTATGCAATACGCCATTAGCAGTACGCAAAGAGATCACCGTTCCTGCTAAAGATTATTACTGATAGTTGAATGATGCACACTAGGAGGTTTTCGACACAAAACGAGGGGCAACTTGTTGAACTGAATAAGGAATGACACTATTTCTTTACAAACACAGGCATCTTTAATATTTGCGGAGATTTGGAAAAGATTTTAGTTCTTCCAGGCAAACTGTTTCGGCACAGACGTTTCTCGCTAGGTCACAAACATCTCACACAGAAATCGAAAAGCAACATATGTATACCAGCTAAGTCAATTTAGTCTAAAATACAAGTTATATAAATTCGATTTTTCAGCTATAGAACAAAATGTAGTAATCATATTGCATAGTCAGACAGAGAGTGGAAAAAAAGTTGAATGTAGCGATCATAAGAACGGGATAAAGAGTA